AAAAAAAGAAAAAAAAAAAAAAAAAAGACCTGTTTAAAATGAGAGTTTTAAAGAGTTGGTGGGATGTCCCGGGGCAGCCCCAGCCCGCAGGGACGCGCTGACGGTGCTGCCTGCCCCATGGGAAGAGCAGCCATGGGGAAACGCGTGCTGGGGGCACGAGGATGCCCGGGGAAGGGGCAGGACCCGTGCCGGGGCTGGCGTCACCTCGAGGAGTTGTTGAGAAAGATTTTCTGTGCCTGGATGGGGCTTGGCATCAGGTGGGTGGGGTTTTTTTTTTGTTTTAATTGTTATTTTTTCCTGATGTGCTGTCTACGAGGCCCTGGGTGACCTGGCACGGGCCCTGCCAGCCGACGGTACCGCAGGTAGAAGCGATGAGCCTGACCCCTCCGCTACGCTCAGATGCGGCCACAAACAGAACTGTCTCTGATGTGTTTGGGGTTTTTTTCAATTATTAATTTTTTTATCTATTTGGTTAAGGCAGATACATGTTTTATTTATTTCCATTTGTAACTTAGCATGCCAAAATGTCCTTTAAAAAGAAAGAAAGAAAGAAGTTTGCAGGCAAAAGAGTGAGCGCAGTTAAAGGACAAAAGCACACGTCGCGTCTGGGTCACTTTATGTCTCTGATGTGTTTGGGGTTTTTTTCAATTATTAATTTTTTTATCTATTTGGTTAAGGCAGATACATGTTTTATTTATTTCCATTTGTAACTTAGCATGCCAAAATGTCCTTTAAAAAGAAAGAAAGAAAGAAGTTTGCAGGCAAAAGAGTGAGCGCAGTTAAAGGACAAAAGCACACGTCGCGTCTGGGTCACTTTAAAGCCTCAAGATGCTCAGATAACGCCAGAAATGTCTCTTCAACTGTTAATATAATTAATTGTCTAGATTTTAGACAGCTGATTTTCCAGTCCCCGTTTAGCTTTCAAGGGAGAGTGGAACCAAGCAGCGTGACAGGACACCAAAGCCCAGGCAGTGTGGGTGATGCGCTACCTGCACGTCTTTGCTCAGAACAGACCAAGTTTTAGTGTGTTTTTGGCATGACGTTGGCTGCTGGGTAAGGTGCTCCGCAGGCACCAAGTGTCTCTGGGCTGGCCCCTCCCA